TTTGAAACTCAGAGTCAAGATGAATCTGTCCCTTATTTTCCTCGGGTAGTTTTCAGGGTAAGGAAAAGCAACAGCCAGCCCCTCGAGTTATCAATCAGCCCAGGTTTCATCTGAAAGCCTGCTTCCTCCTGTTGCTGTCTAACCCTGATCCCCTCGCTCAGAATCCCAGGCCTGCCCCTACTCTCCTTAGCAGGAAGGCTCGGTAGCCTCCTCCTGGCCTCCCCAAGGATGAGGAGCCTCAGCTCTCCTCCCAGATGGCACTGTTGTTACTGCAGGCTCTTCACAGCTAAGACTGGACCCCTCCAACCAGCACAGTGGCATGCGAGAAAGCCACAGGGACAGAGGACAGTAGGCAGGAGGCCCAGGCCCATGGTGCTGCATTTGGCAAGTCTCCCAGGGACAGTGCCTCCAGCTGAGAAGCTGTTATGAGGACTGAGCAGGCGTGAAGTCTGAGGTGCTACTTTCAAGGCCCATGATGGGACTGAGGCTGGTCACACAACACTGCCGATCATGGCCTCTGGCAATGCACAGATGCTGGCCTGAGGCAAGTGACCTCTTGAAATGGTTGACTTGTAGGGATATTATATCCACCTCATTAAATTGTGGGCCACAAATGAGCTGATATGATCAACTCCTCTCACACTGCCTGGCAGAGAGGAAGCAGTTGATGGACATTCTGTCCCTCCTAAATGTGAGCATTGAGCACACGAATACCAAGGTCAGAAGATTCTAGTTGTTGGGGGGTGTGGCTCCCTGACCAGCGGCATGTAAAATTCAATCCCAGGTTTCTCTTATTTAAGCACATGGATAAATCCCACGCTCTGTAGAGGAAATTTAACCATTGCTAGAGATCTTAGATTCAAATGTCATCACCTCTCTTCCTGGGCACTCCAAAGCGGGAACAGGAGCTGCCATCCTGGAAGAAATGCCGCCGTGTGGTAGATAACTTAGAGGGACATGGCTTTCACTTGCCTGCTTTAGGTCTGTTACCCTTCCCTGCTAAAAGGCTCAGACAGCAGCCTGCTCTAAAGAGAGCAATGAAAAGTGTATGGGCTGTGGTCTGAGAAGGGAAGAAAAGCCCAAGGCAGGGATTACTTGACTCGGAAAGGAAGCGGTAAGATGTTGGTACATGCGAAAGTATTTAATAGCAGGGAGGGTGGTGAGTCCTGTGTCAGAGCCGTTAGTGTGGCGGGGCCTAGGGGACTCATCTTAAGATCTTGGAACATTTTGGGAGAAAGACTTTACCAATCACAGACTTTATTACTAATCATGATTAGCAGTGACCGCGACGCTTGACTGTGTCATTTTCTAAATATGTCTATAAACTGCAAGCCAGGTGCTTCCCCATTCACCTTGTGACGTTGACCAGTTCACCTCGTGACCTTGACCAGTTCACACACTGTGGGACTTCAAGCTCAGCCCCTTGACCAGAGATAGGCAACACCTGAGCAAATTTCCAAGGCTGCAGGTTGGCTTCTGAAACTCCAGCCACTCTGCTTTCCCCACTGGCACTAATACCCTTTGTTCGTTCACTAGAAGGGCACAGGGCAGCTGGTACCTGCCTGGCTTGGTCTGACAGCTGGGAATACAACCACCGTGAACAGGACGTGGGTCTAGGCCATGTAGAGAAGCCATTTGGAGAGGAGGAAGCCTGGTTTGGAGAGCACATGGCCGTGGCTCTCAACCTTCCCAATGCTGCAACCCTTTCATACAGTCCCTCGTGTTGTGATGACCCCAACCACAAAATTATTCCACTGCTGCATCATTAGCTATGATTTTGATAGTTACAAGTTGTAACGTCAATATCTGATCTGCAACCCTCAAAGGAGCTGCGGGCCACGGTCTGAGAACCACGGAAACCAGGGACCTAGTGGAGGTAAACTCAGCAAAACGGTGGATGATACCAAAAGCAAGCTAAGAGAGAGGCTGGAACCTGCAGACACAGTGTTTGGCTTTTTGTGATACTGGGTATTGAACTTTGGCCTCTCCCATGCTAGGAACAGGCTCTTCCAGAAGCTTTCAAGGGGCACCATAAACATCCTTCTCTGCATAGGCTGAACGAGAGAGAGAAGCCCGAGAAAATCATTGCAGATGAGGCCGCTGGTGGGCACAGAGTAGTTCACACGGGGCCCTCGCTCATGATCAGGGCCCCTGTGGGGAGGAGCACTTGTGTTCCAACCACACTGGAAAAAGAAACTCAGACAGACAGGATAAACAAAAGATGGTGGGCCAGGGTGGCATCAGGAAGGGTGGCACCTGGGGAGAGCGATCGATAGTCGACATCTGAGCTTGAAGAATGAGCAGACAAGCATGTTGCCTCTAGACTGCGGTCTTTGCAGACAGCACACCCAGAGTCATGGCTGGCACTAAGGGAACCAAAATAGCAAATATTCTTAAAGAAAAATGTTGTCATAAATAATATTAAAGTGTCTCCTTTAGAGTGCTACTGGAGCTTAAGATGAGAAAAACATGTATTATTATAGAACATGAAGCATTATGGAAAATGTTGGGCCAAAATTATCTCAGGGCCTGTACCTCGAGGCCTACAGGACAGAGAAAAGCCTGGCTCGAGTTTGAAGGATAGTCTCAAAGCTACTGAGTGAGGATGAGGCAGCAAAATCTAGGTGGACGCTCCTCCAGCCAGAGGGAGGGCTTGGCTGTCTCTCATTGGTTGGAGGTACCCCACATCACACGATGTCACTTAACCTATAAAGCCGATGCTCTCAGTCTCTATCTAATGGCCAATCCTGGTTGTCAACTTGACTACATCTGGAATCAACTAAATCCCAAGCTGCTGGGTTTTCTTCATCAGATTATTTGGAGCAGAAAGACCCACACAGATAAAGACATGGAAGGAGGAAACATTGCCTTTGCCCGCTTGCCCTCACACTCACTGGCAAGTTTATCTAGTTGCTGCAGCCGGTGTCAAATTCACCTTCGTCAGGGTCCCAATAGAGACTGAAACCAGTATTTCTCCAGGAATCATCTAGGACTCCAGTTCCAGATCGGGACTGCTGAGACATCCAGCCCTGAGGATTGAAAAGCTACTGGATTCTTGATCTGGGAGACTGCTGGATCACACAGCAGCCATCCGATGTTAACTTGAAATTAGGGTAAGAGGTAAGCAAACCTTCACGCCATGCTGGAATCCTGGTTCCACAGCTCGCTAGGTGTCCGACTCCTGAGTCTTCGGCTCTCACCTGGAAAGGTGGCACAGATACCTTCTTTATGGGGTGGTAGCTTCAACTAGATAGACCAGGCGAACGGCCTCGGCCCAGGCCTGGCACACACCAAAGAGGCTAGCAGAAGCTGCTACTGTGAACAGTAAGTCTCCCGCTGCTGCTGCAGGAGAATCCAATCGGCACCTCACAAGCATCCCACGGGGCTCAGTTAACTGCATTCAATGAATGCTTGGTCTATTGCTAGGTATTGGCTGCAGACCAGGTTCTTGGATTACAAGACCCATTAATCAAAGTTACAATTTAGAACTCAGAAGCCTTTGACTTTTCTAAGTTCAGTTTTAATAATTAAAAAAAAAAACACCCTCATTCATGTGCCCTTAAGAATAAAGAAGCAGATGAGAAAGGAGGCAACTGCCCACTGTGTCCCAGACTCGTCCTGTGGAAGTTACTCGTGGAACCCAACTTGGACGTTTGGGTCCAGCTCTTCTTTGCTGTCAGCCTCTCGTGCGTAGTGATGAATGCACACAGAGAAAATAGAAAAGCCCCCAGACTGCACCGACCGCTTTCTTGATCCCTCAATTACAATATCCTCTTTTGCAGTATATCCCTGTCGAACATTTGGAACGAATTAGGACTTTAAACTTCCAGATGTTCCAACTACTGTAAATTTAAACTCATTAAAGAGAGGGCAGATTTACTACCTCTACTCAGTTTTGAAGTCTGTTGTTCACTCCGTCCAAGTACTTTATGGACACAAACACAGTGGCATGTTCTGTATTCTATTTATATAGCATGCGTGTTGGGAAATAAGGGGCATAAAAACAGGCCTGGGAAGGAACTGCCAACCTATAGTTCAGACTTATTGTTCCTAAGTCAGTAACTATTTCCTGAAGCTGACCTAGGAGATAGGTTTATGCTAATCTATACTAAAAACGACTCTGCTTCTCCTGGGCACAGAAACCTGGCCAGAGCAGCCTTTGACGGTGGCGAGGCGAAAGCTGCACCCACTGGTGAAATAAATGGACCTGGGCCCACAGCCCTTTGTGGTAGTGACTTGGCAGCTGAACAAAGGTGGCAGCATTTCTACATCCAGTTTGTAAAGCCTCAGAAGTCGCGGGCTCCAAGATTTTGCATTTTCGACGTTGTGCTGAAAGCTGGCAACGGATAAAAGAAGTCTGTGTCCAAGACAAATGTTTCCTTACAAACCTGAAGAATGAAGTGGCTTTCATAATCAATTTTAAGATCAAATGCCTGGGCTGAAGTACCTGGTTCTGGTCCTGGTTGGCTATTTAATTGGGGACAATTAATTTACCTCTGTGTGCTTGCTTTCTTCACTGAGAAACGGAAGAGATAATGAAGGTGCTTTGTCAGCTCTGAAATATGGTGTAAATATTAACAAACACTGCACGGACAGCTTCCCTGTGCCTGATGAATCACTTCAGTTCACGCAGCGCTAAGAAGTGGCCAACCCCCAGAAGAAATGAAAATAAACCAGACCCAGCTCATTTATTACAGAGGGGTTGATCTCCAGAAGTCTCTTCCAACCCAAACCTCTACTGAACTTACTGGAGTCTATCAAAGAAGGCAGAAGAAATTACATGCGGATTTGAATGGAGGATCTGTTCCCATCTGCTTTATAGAGCCACCAGCCCATAGTAGGATTCGACTGTGTGACTTCCCCCCAGAAGTGAGAGTAAATGCCAAAAGCAAAAATTCCTGAAATTAGATGTTAATTCTTGAATACATTTCTTTTTTTTTTAAAGATTTATTTATTTATTATGTATACAACATTCTGCCTCCATGTATGCCCGCACGCCAGAAGAGGGCGCCAGATCTCATTACAGATGGTTGTGAGCCACCATGTGGTTGCTGGGAATTGAACTGGGGACCTCTGGAAGAGCAGCCAGTGTTCTTAACCACTGAGCCATCTCTCCAGCCCTTGAATACATTTCTTATGACATTTTGCAAGCTGTCCAGATAGACTTCTTCAAACTACACAAGGCTTTTGTAGACACTTTTCCTTCGCCATAATTTAAATAAATCTAATCTACTGAAGTTGTGCGTGTTGTGTGTATGGTTATTTAAAAGTACAGTTGCGGATGGGGGTGGGCTGGAGAAGTGGTTAGATGGTTAAGAGAGTTCAGTGTTCTTGTAGAAGACAGGGCAGGCAATTCCCAGCACCCACGTCTGGCAGCTCACAACAATCTGTTAACTCCGGCTTCAGGGCCTCCAACCTGTGCCCACAAACACACATACCCCCCCTACATATATACAATTTTTAAATACAAATTAATCTTTAAGAAATAAAATACAGTTGTAGTCCCATGGGTCAACTCTAGGCTGTAAGTTCTGTGGGTTAGTGTACTTGGTTACTGCCAATACTTGGCTGAGAAGTCTGGCACATTTGTGATATAGATAGCCACCACAGTCACCATTTTCTAATTATTGCTTTTTGAGACAGGGTTTCCCCTTGTAGCCTCGACTGTCCTGTGGACCCGGCTGGCCTTGAACCTAAGAGATCCGCCTGCCTCTGCCTCCCAAGTGCTGAGATTAAAGGCGTGCGCCACCACTGCCCAGCTAATTACCTTATCTTATAAAGTAGAAATTCTCCACCAAAGCTACACAGACTATGAAAATCCTTTTTCTGTTTAGTGAAAAGGGGTTCTCACTTTTTTTTTTTTTTTTTGATTTTTCGAGGCAGGGTTTTTCTGTAGCTTTGAAGCCTGTTCTGTAACTAGCTCTTGTAGACCAGGTTGGCCTCGAACTCAAAGATCTGTGTGCCTCTGCCTCCCGAGTGCTGGGATTAAAGGTGTGCGTCACCACCACCCGGCCAGGTTCTCACTATTGTAACCTTGGCTGGTCTGAAACTCACAGCAATTCTCCTGCCTGAGATCATCATATACCACACCTGGCATGAAAGCTCCTTTTTAACAAACTAGGGCTTTACCAGGGTGCAGCTCTGGCAGAATGCTTGCCTGGCACGCATTACACCTTCCACAAAGCCCCAAGCTAGAGGATACCCAAACACAGAAGATGGCACCTTACACGCTTCTGGCTACATGGCTGCGGTGGACTGAAACAGGACCTATTTTGCAGCTACTGCTGTCTAAGGGAATCTATTTGCTCATCCCTTCCACCTAGGCTAGCCAAGTGACTTGCTTGGACAATATGTGGTACAAGTGATACCCCTGAGTTTCTGAGTCAGGCTTTGAAAGTACCCTTGGTACCATGGTACTCTAGGACCACAATGACAGAGAGACCAACCATCCCACCTAGACACCAACAAATTTCCAAACAAAAGACAGAAAGCCCACACGACCTTTGCAAAGAAATCGTTTAACCAATCTCAAAAGTGTGAAAAGTGAAATGCTTTCTTTAAGCCATTAAGTTTGAGCAGCAACAAGGCATTAAGAATAAATTATCTAATCCTCACAGCAACGCCTGGTAGAGGAAACAGACCTTGGTTGGGACAGCCTGCCAGGCACAAGAACAAGTGTCCCAAGAACTAGAAACAAACGACAGGCCAGGGCTGATAGGTCAGTTCTCTGTTAAAGACAAACACCGTGCAGAATGCCAACAACATAAAGTCGTTTCGTCTTCTATAACCTGCATAGGCAATGTGTCCTGATTTGACACACCACAGGGCTTGACCCAGCGCTTCAGCAAATGTATCCGACAAATGCATTTTCCTACACCTTAAGCCACATACGGAAAAAGAAGTAGAAAGTATCTCATCTTGAGTTGTAAATCATGAGGATGATTATTAAATAATCATTTTAGGAAAATGTACAAGAATGTGTTTTGATCTGCCAAAAAATACCTCAATTTTTGAAATTTAAACAAAATTTACATTTTATTTAGATTGAAATAAACTGTACAAAATTGATTTTATTCACCAAAAATAACGGTAATATTTTCTGTATTACTCTTTAGATAAACCACAAAACATTTATTTTTGAAGGTTTTGCTTATAAATCAAGACACGGTGGTAGATATAATCACGAAAGACAAGAAAACAGACAAGTCGATTGCCTGTATGGGTGGCCTTTGCCTGTCTTCACCGCAGAGCAAAAGTGAATTTACCTGTGGAAAGGGCTATGGAAATGTGGGCTCGACAAAGGAATGTAAACAGCAACAACCAAGTGGGTTGACAGCGCCTGGCTCTGCCGTTCACTTGCTCCTCTGAGGTCCTTCTGTCCTGCACAGACTACTGAAAGCTGCTTACTGAGCTCACAGACTCTGTAACTCCTGGGCTGCTCATCGTGCAGTTGGATTCTGTTGCTTTCTTCTCTGCTCCGCAGTCCTGAGGCTTGGGCTTGCACGTGCTCAGCAAGTGCTCCACTGAGCTATCCCCGGCCCTTGCTCTTTTTCTTTTTTGAGACAGTCCCACTATGTAGCCCAGGCTGGACTAAAACTTGTGATCCTCATGCCTCTGCCTTCCAAGTGCTGCTACCACAAATTTTAAGCACCCATAACTCCTACAGGTCAAAAGTCAATGGTGTACACTTCATCGTAATACATTATAAAATGTATCTCTCACAAATTCATTTTTCAAAGGCCTGATAACGCACCACCTGACAACTGAATCCATAATGATAATGTTACGTCTAGAATAACTTTAAAACAGTTCCCGAGTCCCACAGCAGGGAGGCATTCTGACATTCCTGGTGCCAACTCCTACAACAGACAGGTACAGAGAGCATGAGAGTTCAAACAGGAGCCAATACGTGGGTTACCAACAGTTAATGACGCACTTGACTGGAGGTCTTGCGGTAGGCGCAGTTAACTGACCCACTATACCTTACGCTTTTCTTCCAAACGGCAAACACAAAGACGACAATCATTTCAGAAATCTTTTAGGCATTTTCAATGGTTTCCGAATTATTCGTAGGAAGCTCTGGTTTATTTGTATAGAGTTTGATGTATGTGTCCACCATTAAATCCAGATCATGTTTTATATCAAAATTTATGTTAAGTAAAGCCAAATTACTTGACCTCTGGTCTGTCAAAGTGTTCCGCAGATACGCCTTGAGACGCTTCCGTCCGTTTTCATAACGCTCATTCTCAACTTTCATCACAGGGAGAATACACAGGACCTTCAGCAAGGCATACACATTGGGGAAAAACTTGATGTCTGGAAGATGCAGGGCTTCGTAGATGGTGGACGGGAGCTCGATGTCTTTCCCCCTGTGCTTCCACTTGATTCTCCAACAGTGCAGCTCGGCTGAGAGCGTGTCAGGGTTGGGCAGGTCACTTCTGTACATGTCGGCATGGTGCTCCTCTGAGGTGTTGAACTTGAGCTGCCCCATCACCGAGGGGACCAGGGACAGGCATTTCAGAGCTTTGAGGTGCTGCTCAGAAAATATATCTTTCAGCTCCTGAATAATGTGCTCCACCGTGGGAACACTGAGGGTGTCTTTATAGTAACTCTCCGAGGTCAGCTGAGATTCCACGTTACCTTGCTGGGCCCTCCGGAATTTCCCCGGGAGTTTCATTTGAACGTCAAGTTTGGTTGCTAAGTTTGTGGCTTCCTCAAACCAAAACTCGTGATAAACTTCGATGTTCTCCATCACCTCGTTAAGCGAATGCAGTACTGCAGTCAGACTGCTGGCTGCAAAGAAGACATCCGAGGTTTGTCCCTGGAGATTCTTCCCAAAGGCTCTCGTAAAAGATAACACATTCTTAAGAACAACAATGGTAACGATGAAATCGAAGTCTGTCACTGCGCTACAGAGGACAAATGCTCGCCCCGCTACGCAGTTATTCCACCTGACACTCGTGTCGCTGTTTATGCCGTCTAAACACAGAACAAGCGCTTGCAGGAGATCCACCAAGACCTCAAAGGCGTCGTGCCTGCCTGTCCACTGGGAATGGCAGATCTCCTTCAGTTCTTTCCCTCGCTCTTCACTGTTCTGGAAAAGAACAGAGATCACATTGTCAAGTTCTAAGAGCAGCTGTGGTGACCGGTGGAAAAAAGAACAGACTTCCTCGATCGTCCCTAACGCCATGGACACCCCGACCACAGGGACAGACTTCGCCAGCCAGGCATTCAAGGCACAGGAGGAGCAGAGGGTGTAGACGGCCTGGGGGTATTTTTCTAAAAGTCTCGAGGCAACAACTTTCATCTTGGAAGAAAACCCACTGGACACAATGTAGGCCTGACCACGGCAATACTCCATATTCAACCCCCACTTCTCAGTTATCGTAGTGTGAAATTTCACAGCCAAAATCTCTGCATCGGCTTCGTATGGCAGGAAGCCCACAAACTCCTCTCTCAGGTTGTGAGCTTCATCGACAAACCTCACCAGCACGGGCAGCTGCTCCTCTCCTGCTATGTCCACCACGTCATCCGTGATGATAGAGAAGAAGTGTGAGTCCCTCACTTCCCTGAGCGTCTCCTCCCGGATGCAGCTCTCGCAGATCTCCAGCATCTGTCTCTGCTGAGCTTTAGAGCAGAAGAGCGTGTTCACCGCTGTAGTCTCAAATCGCTTCCGCAGGACCTCTTCTCCAGAATTGATCCGGCACTCCAGCAAGGCCTGAAAGTTGTCTGGAGCGAAGAGGCCTTCTGGGACCTCATCAGCCTCGTGCCCATCCAAGGGTATGTTCTGCTTCCCCATGAGAATCAGGATCTCAAACAGCGACTTGAGGTACTCTTTGTTCTCCTTCTCTTCGAGAGTGAGAGGCAACACGTTTCCATCCTGCTGGTTCCCTGTTTCGGCACTGGGGTTCTGAGCAGTGTTGTTAGTTTCCTGTTCTTGTTCACAAGCTTCCTCAACTGGAAAACAAAGGAACCACAAAAGACAAAATAGATCACAGTTTTGATTGGCTAAATATCTAAAATCTACAAACTCATTCATTCACCACTAAAAGAACACTGACAGGATAGGACCCAAATTAAATTAGTAAAATGAAGACACAAATGCTGTGGACAGACTTTAATAAACACAAATGCTGTTATGAAGTAGGGACAATTTTTAATAACATTACACCATGAGAAGAGGACAGTGTTTCCACAGGTATCTTACATGTATCACACTACTTTCTTCAGGCGGATGCCATCAACCCCACTTGACTGCACAGTTGTCTTTCCTAGTCCAGAGTGCTCCATGTAAGCCAGGCCATGTTGTCTCTAATTACAAACTCTGCCCTCAGTGGTTCCAACTGCTAGCAACTCACAACGCTGCAAGTTCTGAACTCTGCTCTCTCCTCTGGGTTCATCTGTTAAGCGCCATAGGCTATCAGAGATGCTAACAACATCTAAGTGAGGGTGTTTACTTCAATCTAGCAGCTTGTTTTGTTCTACTCTGTTTCTATCTTTCCTGCCTTTCTTTGCTGAGCATGTTTCTTTATCTATAAAGAAGGAAAATATTATTTATCATGCAGCTACTGTGGGAATTAAACAAAGCACCAGGATGATAAATGGTATCAGCCAAAGCTATGTCTATAGCAGCAAAAGAAGATAAAGGAGGAGAGATGGTGTCCACTGGTAAGAAAAGAAGCAATTTCTAGTCCCATCATTTGACGACACAGCTTACACATCAACATCAGCACCTACAGAGACTGTAACCACTACACCCAAAATACCCACTGCCTTACAGCCAGGAACTAATTATGTTCCACGATGTGCGTGGCTGGCTTTTCTGGAGCACTCCTTCCCTACAGGGACCCCTAACCACTCCGAGGGCCTCGAGGGGAGAAGGCGCTGTGCTCTGCACATGACAATGTGGGCAGCACAACAACTCTGCACACAGGGGATCCTCCAGGCTGCAGGACAATGTTAACCACAGTTTTACACTCACGCTCAAGGAAGGTTTCGGATATGAAACACATTTATTTGTTCTTACCAGGTCAACCCTTTTAAAAAGGAATTCAAAAGCGTCATCAACATTATCACTTACTTTTTTTCTGCTTCAGTGTTCTGATTTCATCTTCACTCTAAGAAAGAAAAAATTTAAGACAATCATCTTTAGTAAATCATCTAGACTTAAGCCTGTTCAGAGCAAAAAAAAAATCTCATTTGAGAGTTTAAGGGGCTTTGTTTTTAAAGAAAGTGTCTCATGTACTCCAGAGTGGTCTTGAACTAAGTAGCTGTGGATGACCTTGAACTTCTGACACTTTGCCTTTACCTCCCAAGTACTGGTTTATGTGGTACTAGGAATTGAACCCAGGCCATCATTCATGCTACACAAGTATTCTGATCAGCAAGACTACATCCCTAGCTCCAGAGAGAATCAATTCTTCACACTGAATACATTCTTAAGACACATAATAGGAAACCAAAACCATGTGACATGCTCTTGATTCCAAGCTTATACTGAAGTACTAGAAGAAAAACGACGTATTATTGACCTACTTTCTCCCTAATGTATCCTAACCGGACAAATGCATACTGAGTGATAATTGAGATGAAGATAGACCACAGCACTTAGCATCATATTCACGAGGACACGATGACTCCTCTTCCCAATCTAACCCTAAATGTCACAAAACCAGGAGGCTGCTGACCACAGAACTTCATGAGAAGGCCTAGGAAGTACAAAGTGAGGCACCAGCTCAGAAGAAAAAGCAGTAGAGTTTTTCTGTACCCCAAACCATCAGAGGTAGAACTTTCCAGATCAGTCTTGCATTCTCCCACCAACACTCTCTAGTGTTTGTATACACTCCACCACTATCTGTGGCAGGAAAGCAGTGCCAACGAAAGCCAGAGACAGCAGGGCACCCGATGGGCTCTCAGGACACTGCACTAACAGAACCATTAGCATGCTGGCTAAGTTGACAGCCCTCCCCTAGCCCAGAGGGCGCAGTTAAGGAATGGCAAGTGTGGAAGTGTGCCTGTCATGAAAGGCGGGCACAGGGAAGCGACAGCTGATGCAAAGGACGGCCATGTGAGTAAGTGTGAGCACTCATCCAGGACAAATCCCAGAGAAGCAGAAGGGAAAAGACGAGAGATTAAGTCCTGAGATGTAAACACGTCATCAGACTACTCAATACAGGAACTGAAAATACACTATGGCACTTGTTTTTATAATTGGTGGTGCTTGGGACTGAACCCCGTGCCCCGCAAATGCCAGGCAAACACTGTAACACCTGGCTGTATGCCTGACCCTGTTCAATAAAATTTAAATGTCCACAATAAAAAACTTCAGAAAAGCTGGACAGTGGTGGTACACGCCTTTAATCCCAGCATTCAGGAGGCAGAGGCAGGGGGCTCTCTGTGAGTTCGAGACCAGCCTGGTCTACAAGAGCTAGTTCCAGGACAGGCTCCAAAACCACAGAGAAACCCTGTCTCAAAAAAAAAAAAAAAAAAAAGAAAGAAAGAAAGAAAATTCTCAGGAAGAATAGTGGACCACTTGAGGAAGCACCAGAATTCAGGGACAATGGAGACACACATACAAGATCCTGTGGTCTATAGGTACCCCCTGTGTGCTACCTAACATTTGAAATAAACAACATGAAGAGCCTTAAAAAAACACCTTTGAGAACTACGGGAGACTACAAAAGGCTGCAGCTAATATGTTGCCTTTGTTTAACTCTGTGAAGTTATGTTACTGCGCCTGTGTAAAACACCTGATGGTCTAATAAAGAGCTGAACGGCCAATAGCAAGGCAGGAGAGAGAAATAGGCAGGGTTGTATGCAGAGTATAAACAGAAGGAGAAATCTGGGAGAGGGAGGAAGATGTCAGGGGCCAGGCACGCAGTCACCCAGACAGCCACAGAATAAGAGTGAAGGTAAGGTATAAAGAAGAAAAGGAAAAAGCCCAAAGGCAAAAAGTGGTTGGGATAATTTAAGAAAAGCTGGCAAGAAACAAGTCAAGGACTAGTATTCATAACTAAGAATAAGCCTCCGAGCGTTTTATTTGGGAGCTGGGTGGTGGACCTCCCCCGACAAAAAGCCAAAAGAGTAAAACATCACACAACATTGAAGAGCTAACTTGTCTTCAAAACTAGGTGAGGGGGAGCTGAGTCAGTAAAACGGCTTAGCAGGCAACAGTGTGTGCCTCCCAAACCTACCCCGGGCTCCCATGATAGGGCAAGGGTGTGTGCCTCCCAAGCCTACCCCGGGCTCCCACGATAGGGCAACGGTGTGTGCCTCCCAAGCCTACCCCGGGCTCCCACAATAGGGCAACGGTGTGTGCCTCCCAAGCCTACCCCGGGCTCCCACAATAGGGCAACGGTGTGTGCCTCACAAGCCTACCCCGGGCTCCCACAATAGGGCAACGGTGTGTGCCTCACAAGCCTACCCCGGGCTCCCACAATAGGGCAACGGTGTGTGCCTCACAAGCCTACCCCGGGCTCCTCAGGTGTCCACATGCCTGCTGCCATGAATGTGTGCCTAATGAATAATTAATTACGTAACTGAAAATAAAAATGAACCGGGGTAACGTGTATATAAGGGTGTTCACCCAAGGTCAACAAAGACAGGTAGGTTTTAGCTATCTGAAAGGTGGCAAAGGATTATAAAAGCACATATAATTTATACGACATTATAAACTTTTTCTAGATCCTGTCACCAATAATAGCAAAATTCTCCACTCTAAAACAGTCTAGATCTCCTTGCCACCAGTCCAGGAAAGCAATGAGCTAGTAACCTGTAATCAACACCCGGCCTTGTCCCAAGCCAACAACTATCAGCTGGGCTCTATCTGGAGGAGCTTTTCCAACTTAAACAGCACTACGACAGACTAACCATCTCAATAAACACGGCTCACTTCCTAGCACGCTACCTGGGAGACACAGAATACCACAGGAGAGCTGCTAACAAGTGCTTCCGTGCTTGATGTAACAGGATGTGCAGAGAGAGCAAAGCTGAGGAGCCAGAGACATACCAACTCTTTTATTCGTTTTCTGTGTCTGCTATGTGGGTTGTTCAAATGACTGGTGAGGTCAAATATTGTTGGTATTGCATTATCTCGAAGAACTGTACGGTAAGGACTCTGAAAAAGAAAATGTATCAATTCAGAAAAGGTCCCTAAAAAAAAAAAAAAAAGTAAATAAAATCCTCCATTAATGACTTCTCTAGAGCTTCTTTACCTGTCTCTAAAGTACAGACACGCAAATTCCGATGCCCTTCTGTTCTGTCCTCCATTAGCTACCAAGTCTATAGGAATCACAGGTCTCCGGAATTTTCTATGCCCTTTAATGTGCAATTACAATGCTCCCCCTTCCCTGCCATTCCCTCCACTGTTGCTAGCACTGGGAAATATCAAGGCAGTAAAAACATGAACTTGACCAATGCCTTTTTAGACTCCAGTTCCTTGATCTAAATAGGAGTCAGGTGTCAAGTAGTTCACGTCTTCCAAAATGAAATTATTCACATACTAAGGATAACAAAATACATAATCACAAGTCTACCAACACTCAACTAGGTATTTCTAAACTCCCTTCTTGTCTCAATGATCTGATCACTAAAAAGGCACCTTTCTCTGCCCTGCTGTCTCACCAGAAGCTGGACCTAAACCTGCATAGTGACAGTCTTCCATAGTGAGCCAAGAGGAAGCTGGGACAACAAGAACTTAATTAAGGAGAGTAGCTGATAAATCACTATCATTCCCACTAGTTAGTTCAAGGAGAGAGTGACATTTATTTCTCTCTCCAGTTATAGGAAAACACAAAGCATACTTCATTTGAGGAACTTTCTTGGTGGTAGTGATATTTCAAAGCTGACTTCTCTGAACTTTTTCACCTTGGTAAGGGAGGTTGGGAAGACAGGACAGAAAAATGTATCCAAATGAAACAATCTGCTTGGATTCCATCCAGAGGTGCTGTGAGCACTCAGGGAGAATTACTAGTTAGTCAGTGTTTTCTAATTCAATCCCACACATCACAGAAAACAAAAAGTCTAATTTATTATTATTAATTATTATATTTAATTTTTTGATAAGTTGAGACATGGTCTCACCATATTGCTCAAGTGGCCTTCAACTCATGATCCAATCTACCTCTGCCTCTTTACTGTTGGAATGACAGCTATGAGCCACCATGCCAGGCGCTCACTCTCTTTCTCCAGGGTTTTCTGAGTAGCTTTGGAGCCTGTCTTGGAACTCACTCTGTAGACTAGGCTGGCCTCGAACTCAGAGATCCTCCTGCCTCTGCCTCCCGAGTGCTGAGATTAAAGAGTGCACCACCACCACAGGGCACAAAATGCAATTTCTCAATACTTGGCTCCTAAGGTGGACTAAGAACTCTGAGTCTACCAGGAAGTCTGAGTTGGGATTGGTATGGACAAAGCTACAGAGGAAAGTTCACCTATGATACCCTGGGCTTTTCATCTTTCTCACTAAGCCAAAGTCTCAAAATTAAACATAATCAACATCAAATAGTTGGGTGATTGGGGGGATTAGAGGAGGGAGGAGATAGTCTAGAGAATTTTCAAAATTCAAATTTAGCAGACAAAGCAAAGACCAGAAAAACTGGAATATGAATGAAAATGATATATTCTATATTCATTTATAAATACACATGTCAAAAGATTAAATCTAACTCACATGAACAATGCTAATTCCACATCACAGTTTACTCTTCGCAATTTAAAGGAACCACGCTTATCTTACTCTAGCACCAAAGATAACAGGTTTTGTTTTTTTGTTTTTTTTTTTGTTTGTTTGTTTGGTTTTTTTTGATAATAGAGGTTTTGGCTTTGGCAGAACTGCTCATGTATGCTAAAAAGCTCTTAAATGCCAAGCTAATGAAGCCAGCAGGCTCACATGTTTCCATACAGTTATCATGCGAGCCAGTCTTCAAGATGCTTGTTCTGCACACACAGAAAGAACATGTCTCCCATTTAAGTTAATTTACTAAAGATGAAAGAAGCATTGGGAATTACAAAAAGCAAAACTAGCTATTCTATTTCTACTCTATGCTCTGACTAAAGTCAGCTACATTAGTGAGCTATATTTTAAATTTTTCAGATTAATCAGGCTAGAATTACACAGTTAAAAGATGATATTCACTATACTAAAAGTAAAAATGCATGGTTTGTGTATTTTAAAATGAACACAAAAGTAGTTTGCCTTTAAAACACACGGCTGATCAGTATAACGCTTGTAACAAAGCAAGGTTAAAAAAAAAAATCCCTCAAATATTTGTGATTAAATTGTTGAACCGGAATTGGCTCACCTCCCAATGACTTCACAAGTATCTGCTTCAATTAATATTGAGAAATAAAATAACCCAATCATTCTTTAGTTTTCTGATGCCTCTGCAAAATGTATCTGAAAAAAATATCAAAATAAATTGCTTCATAATAATATATAGTGTACCTTCAAGTCAAGTTCACGTCTATCCAAGCCTAATCAGAACGTTAGTTATACCTAAGAATGCTATGGATTTACCAAACTTTTTCTTGTTGGTTTCTGGTCCACACATGTCAATCAAATCTGCCTGTTTCTTTTATGAATCACATTCTCTTACTAGAGAATCTTAGAACATTAGAAACCCTAAGATTTTGTTCAGGCCCAGAAGGGAAAGGTCTGGGTGTAAGAACAGCTTCATGTTACCCATGTGATACAGATTCTTGTTCTAGCTAGTCCTTAAAATTACACAGTGGGAACGAGGTAAGAGCATCATTCCTAGGTGAGACTGCCATTCACAAGAATGCTCTAGAAGAGCTGGGGTTAACTCAGTGGTAGAGTGGTAGTGGTACAGAAGGCTCCGGGTTCTATCCCTAGAACCACATTAAAACAAAACAAAAAAACTCTAGAAAAGTAGCTTGAAATGAACAGCCACAGTATTACACATGTACATTTCTGTAAGTTTAAAAGTTATTACCTCTAGTGAGGTGGGGAGGGGGCATCAAGAAAAGAGGGGTTTAAAAAGTCAAGGTTTTTTTTTTTTTTTTTTTGGTTTTTTGAGACAGGGTTTCTCTGTGGCTTTGGAGCCTGTCCTGGAATTAGCTCTGTAGACCAGGCTGGTCTCGAACTCACAGAGATCCGCCTGCCTCTGCCTCTGCCTCCCGAGTGCTGGGATTAAAGGCGTGCGCCACCATCGCCCGGCAAAAGTCAAGTTTTTGAGAGCAAGCAGATACTACTACTAGACTCCAGACCTATCTTCAACTCAAATTGTATAGGCAGACATTCAATAAAAACTGACATTGCAAACCAGACAGCAAGGGAGGAGAGGCCACGCTCTTACTTACAGTTCGACAGATCATAGAGGTCTCGAAGTGTTTGGCGCATAGTCGATAATGCTTATTTAGCTGATCGGGGGTTTTGTCTTCTAAGTCTGCTCTCCTACAATTTTCAACCCACTTCTGGCATCTATAAACAAAACCAAAGTATAATTATGAAATATAAAGTCAAAGTTTAAATTTTAGCGTTTGGGCTGGGCATAGGAGCACACACCTATAATCTCAGTACTTGGGAGGTTGAGGCAGGAAGATTCTGAGTCTGAGACCAGCCTAAACTACATAGGAAACCTCATCTCAAAACATATTTAATCTGAGTCAGGCATGGTACATATATATGTTTTTTTTTGGGGGGGGGGGTCTTTCAAGACAGGGTTTCCCTGTGTAACAGTCCTAGCTGTTCTAGAACTAGCTCTTGTAGTCCAGGCTGCCCTTAAACTCACAGGGATTCACCTGCCTCTGTGTTGCAAGTGCTGGGATTAAAGGCGTGCGCCACCACGGCCTGGCCTGATATACACACCTTTAATCCCAGGTGCTGGGATTAAACAAATAAATAAATATATTTGGAGCAGGCAATTATCTCTTTTAAAGGGCCACAGACCATACATAAAAGTTTAGTTAAAAATATATAAACATATTTATAAATAGACTTAAAACAGAAATCAGTGCCAAGTGTGGCACATGACTTTGATCCCAGCACTCAGGAAGAAGAAGCAGGCAGATTTCTAAGTTTAAGGTCTGCTTAAGCAGAGCAAGTCAGGGTTACAAGAGAAACCCTGCCTTGAAAAACAGAAAGAAAAAAAAAAAACAAAAAACAAGTATCGACAATGTAGAGAAAGAGAAATCAGTCATTTGAAATTAATTTCTGTATGTAGTATAAAGATAACTATTTTCCCCCCAGCACAGGGGATAGAACCTGGAACCTCACTTATGCTAATCAAGGTCTTTAGTCCTGAACTCCATCCCCTGGCTGAAGACACCTTTGGAATTTCTACCAAGCCTGCTGTCAGATGCCGCATTACAAATCAAACTTTTACTATTCCCCAACAAACTGTAATTCCCAATCTTCCTTATGTCAGTAACTGTTTTATGTTAAAAGCCTCAGGAGTCTGAGAGAGATGGCTCAGTGGGTGGAAGCCGTGCAAGCCTGGGGATCTGAGTTCAGATCACTACGCCCACACGAAAAGCTGTGTCTGCAGCTCTAACCCTATGGGAGCAGAGACAGGAGGCTTGCCGGGGTTTGCTGGCCACTAGCCCGGCTACAGGTTCAGTACCCACACTACCCTCATAACACATACATAATCTCGGGAGTTACCCTTGACTGTTTTCTCTTATAACCCACACCCAAACTATTGGCAAATTAAGTTGGCTTCATCACCAAACTTTATCTAAAACGCACAATGTACCTCTTCCTCCTCTTCTGATCTGGACTATTGCAACAGTCGATCCCTGGTCTTCCTGCTTTCACTTTTGCTCCCCTACAATGAACAAGCAGCCAGAAATCCCTGGGAGAACCTCTCTCAGCTCTAAGTTCTCCTGCTTCACTCAGAATAAACCCCGGAGTGTTTCCACAGACAACTTCCTGAACAGCTTGTGACTCCCATACACACCTCATCAGCAAGCATGCCTTGACTGCACTCTTCCTGTCTCCAGACTTCCTAAGGTATTTCATGGATGTCCCCTGCCCTAATTCAACTCTTTGCTCAAATTCACTGCGGTGAGACTTTTATTACTCCCTCTGTTTAAAATAGCAATTGTGCCTCTCTTATTATCATTTTTTTTTCTTTAAATGGGTAAGTGAGACAAGATCTCACAACTGTAGCCCTAAATGTCCTGGAACTTGCTTTAACTCAGGCTGGCTTCAAAACTCAAGCTAATTCTCCTGCCTCCTCAGAGCTAGGATTACAGTGCACGTCACCAAACGCAGCTCCCTGGCTATGGTTTTTTTTTTCTTTAAAGTCTACTTATTGCCGGGCGGTGGTGGCGCACGCCTTTAATCGCAGCACTTGGTAGGCAGAGGCAGGCGGATCTCTGTGAGTTCGAGACCAGCCTGGTCTACAAGAGCTAGTTCCAGGACAGGCTCCAAAACCACAGAGAAACCCTGTCTCGAAAAAGCAAAAGAAAAAAAAAGTCTACTTATTTATATGCATGAGTGTATTACACTTTGAGCCTGGTACACACAAAGGCCAGAGGAGGTTGTTCATGAGATCCCCTGGAAACGGAGTTACAGGGGGTTAAGTCACCCGAGGTGGGCTCAGAACCCAGGTCTTCTGCAAGCGCAGCAAGTGCTCTTCAGCGCTGAGCCGTCTTTGCAGCTGCTCCCTGGCTACCTTTAAACTCTTCCAACCCCTGCTGTATTTTTCTTTAGGGTATTTCTCATTTGGGGGGCACACTACTGTAAATATTTTACTTCCAATTTCCCACCACTTGAACGTAACCTCTGAGAGCAGGGACTTTTCAATGGCTCATCTGTTACCCTGCGCTCAAACCAATTTCTACCAATTGTAGGCTTTCGATAAATATTTGTCCAACTAATAAATAGCATGCTACATTACAACGCCTGTTGATAGATCTGCTCCCTCCACGGATTAGGCGCTTTCTGCGGTTCCTGACAGCATTCCCAGGGTCCCCAGCACCTGACACGAGTACTCCAAACACGGCTAAGCACTGACTTTTAAATGAATGGACCAACAAGAGAGCCCCGTGAAACCCTATCAATCACACTCAGTCCCTACGCCTCTCAGAGCACGACCCGGAGGATGAGCTGCCCCAAGGGAAGAGTGAAGTTTCAATACCTATTCCCACGCCCTCACACGCGTCCTCGGAGCTCCCCACAATAACCGAGGGAGACAATGAGTAACGGTCCGCCTCTGAACGCCGAGAACGATGACAACCCCGAAGGAGGCAGCAGTTGTGACCCGATTGAAGATCAAAGCAAGCGGCCCGACTCCAAACAGAAACACCGTCCCAGGAGCAGAGGCAGGGCCGCCGGGACAGCAACCCGGGAGTCCCACCCTTCCCTTGACAGCTAGGAAAATGAGCCGGACGACGGAAGCCGCTCGGCGCCCCCGGGGTGGCACCCTCTCGGCCGGGTCCCCGAGGGCGCAGCAGCGCACGTGCACCCGACTCCGCGCCCCGCTCACCTACCTGGCCGGGTCCCGAGGGAACCTGAAGAAGGCCAGGTCGGACTGCGTGCTCTTCCGTGTGCAGTTCGGGGCGGCGCAGAAGTTCGGCATGGTCGTCCGGCCACCGGCCGGTCCAGCCCTCCCCTCCCCGCCTCGTCAGGGCAGCAGCACGGCCGCCCCGCGGGGCCGGGGAGGGGAGCTGGGCCGGCCAGCCGGCCGGCTACGCCAGGCCGCGCGCGCGGAGGAGGGGCTGGCAGGCGAAGCCGCGAGGGACAGGAGGGGCGCGCGGGCCGAGGCCGGGCTGGGGCCGCGGCTCCACAGTGCTGTGAGCGGCCGGGAGGATTTACCGCCGCCGCCGCCGCTGCTGCACCTCCAGCCCGCCCGGGACGCTGCCGCCTCCTTCCCACAATGCACCCTGGTGCTCGGGGGTGCCCTCTCTCCTCTCAGCCTCCTCCTCCTCTCCTCGCCGGCGACCTTTCCCGCGGGCGAGCATGCGCACACGAGCCGAGCGCTTCCGACCGGGCGTGGGCTGGTGGCGGCAGAGCTCGGCGCCTCTGCCTCAGTGCGCACGCGCACAGCCCAACCCGCGCGAGGGAGGCATTGCGCATGCGGCCTAGCCTCCCGGGACTCCGGAGCCAGCAGAAGCCAGGGCTTCTCTGGTAGGTTTGTCGTCCTTCAGGTCCCCGGGGCGAGTTCTGACGTTACCGCCACGGCCGCGTCATCCTGCTTTTTGAGTAGCCGCGCTTAGGCGTCCGTTGCATGGATGCCATAGACTCTTAGGACCACAGAATCCGCACGACTTTGGTGACTGCTTTGCAAACTCCGTGCACGGATTGGACGCAAACGTGGGGGTTGTAGAGGCTTTAATTTTTCCCAGTGTTGCCTCTCGGTTACTTTTATAACCCGGTTAGTGCGAGTTTGCCAGCCCCACACCTCGACTAGACGCTAAGGGCGAAAATTCAGAAAAAGCAGAAACTTCCCTGGTGGCTTCTTGAAGAGCAGGAATAGCGAAATGATTAGGCCAGCAGCACCCTAGAGACTGATACCTCGGGGCTTCTCACCGTCGTGGCCTGATCATGTTCCTGTGTGACTTAATGCCGAAATGAGTGGTCGCTGTTTAGAGCAAAGGATTAGTATCAAGTTTTGCGTGAAATTGAACAAGTCTGCCAGTGAGACCCACCGTCTTTTGAAAGGGTTTAGGTAGGGCGGGAAGATGGCCTAAATGATGCATAAAAAGTTCGTCCAGTCACGCACAGGACGGATGAAAACACCCAGAAAGTCAAGGACTCGGTTTTTTCAAACAGACAGTTAACGGTGAGAATGCTGCAGAATGTTAGACTCATTCTGAAAGAAAACCTGAACATGAGAAAAATGTCTGCCAAAGTTCCAGCGAGTATTCTAAAGGATGAGCCTGAACCCGAGAAATTTGAATTCCCTCTGATTCATTCAAAGGAAATTACGAAAAACCATTTTATAGTGAGGGAAAGGGCAACAAGTTCTGAGATGTGGAGTCCTTTGCAGCAGAAAGCTGGTGGGCAAATGTCTCTGCCTGTGTTGAATCCCAGAATCCACGTCCCCACCCCCACTCCCGCCAGCCAGCTTCTGCAGGGCCAGCCTCAGTCAGCAAGCATTCCGCCTAGGGTGGCTCAGCATTGGTTCACATCCTGCTGAAATGAGCCTGAGGTCGCCAGAACCTGACCAGGGAGCTGTCCTCATCTGCTTTTCCTCTCTGGCTCCTCCTTCACGCTGGGCAGGATCCAGCTACATATAATACTGATCTATGGGGTTCTCTTCCTTGCTGTTCCCAACCTTCTTGGAGGGCTTGTGGCTGTTGACTTCTGGTGATAGTTTGTTTTTTATTTCAGCAAGTGTGGCTCTCTTCAGTGCCTGTAGCTCGGCTTGGGGCTACCCTGCACATCCTGCTGTCCCAGGGGATCATGCCAGTGAGAAGTGCGGGTCTAAGTCTATTTCTGTGTCTGGGGAGACATAATTTTCTGAGGGGACCCCAAAAGAAGGCCTGCAGTTTCAGCCTGCTTCACAGTCAGGGCCTGAGAGGTGTGGTACAGAAGGCAGTGTGATCTAACCCGAATGACTCACGGTTGGCCTACAATAGTTACCTCACAGAACTCCCTTCCTCCGACAGGAGAGTTAGGTGTGTCTCATTCTCCTGTACTTTGGACCACCATTCTTTTGGGTACCTTCTGCTAGAAGAGAAGGGTTGGCCCTAGAACATTTAAGCCATGAGACCCAGGTGAAGGCCGTGATGTCCCATGAAGAGACTAGGTGATTCCTCGGGTTTCACGTTAAGGGAGTCTGGGATGCGGTGCCGATTCACACACGACATTTATTTAGTTACTGAGGTCAAGTGTGTTTTGGATGGTGTTGAGCTCTGTAGTGAGATTGCTAAGGATAGGTGGGGTTGACGGAGGAGGCGGTTTTTAACTATATCCGTGAAGAAGGGTGAGAGAAAGGACAGTGAGATTGGAGGTGGTACAGCATGAGGCGGGGTAAAAAGAAAATGCCCTTTTAGTGTTAAAATACTTAGGTCAGGCGGGGGGCAGGTAGTAGTGTTGCAGACGAGGAATTTGAAAACTTTGGGCTTCCTCTCTTCTGCCCTTAATTTTATGCTAGTAGTTTATACATTGCTACCCCTATCTGCAGGTATGTTTATGACAAACTCCCTTGTTAAAGCAGCTAATTGGACCTCCCCGCCCCCAAAAGCAGGCTATACAAATTTAAACAGTCTCTTCGTACCTCCCTGTCAGAGTTCACAGAATGAAACTTGTCTCAAGAGGGTTGCAAGTACTCCACATCTGAGAAAGCATCTCAGAATGCCTAAGGGGGTGCAGAGGGAAGGGAAGCAACAGCATCTCAGCGCTGGCCAGTGTCTGCCTTACCCAGGGGTTCTGACACTTAGTGACTCACTTGCTAAGAAATAATACTGGTTCGTAATCCTCACAGCATAATTCACTTTACTGTCTCTCCTGCTTTCAAAAGGTCTCAAGGCCGGGTGTGGCAGCACACACCCAGACTTGGCAGGCAGAAGCAGGTGGACCTTCAGTTGTGAAGTTCCTTGAAAGCTAGATCTTGTCGTCTAGCAAAGCTCTTGAAGAGGGGTGGAGAAATGGCTCAGCATATTCAGAGCACCAACTTCTTCCAGAGGACCCCGGTTCAAATCCCAGCACCCACGTGGAAGCTCACACAAAGATACATGCAGTCGTAACACCAATTCAGTTCGCATGACATAATATCTGGGAGCTGGAGAGATGGCTCAGTGGTTAAGAGTGGTTCTTGTAGAGAAACGGGGCTCATTTCCCAGCACCCACATGGCAGCTCACAACTGTCTTTAATTCCAGTTCCAGAGGACCTAACACCCATGGCAAAACACCAGTGCGCATAAAATAAAAACTAATTTTAAAAAAGTATATATTAAAAAAAAAACTCTTAAATACAAGCAGCACCTTATAGACTTCTCCCTGCTTAGTAGTTCCAAGACATCCCACTTCTAGGTCGTCCTGTGAGATGAAGTTCTGGTTCCTCCATGCTTGCCACTCAGGACAGTACATCTTAGGATGAAGTCCCCACTACTGCAATAATTTTGATGAATTCATTGATCTTTTCTCTGGTCTTGTAATCATTACATAATAGTGTGTCCATGGGCACAGACAAGGATCCCACACCACTATTTTCAGGTCTTATCTCCATGTTACTTTATTTTGTTTTTTTGAGACAGGGTCTCACAGAGGTCCACCTGCCTTGGCCTCCCAAGTGCTGGGATTAGAGGCGTGAGCCACCACTCCTGGCTCTCACTTATAGCACAGATCCTGAGAGAAGTGGTTTCTGGGTTTATTTCATCCTGTAAACAGAGTTAGTGTGAACCCAGCCGTGATGCTGGACTGAGACCCATATTGAAATACAAGGCCCCAGAAGTAAAATGGTCTGGGTTAGGGTTTAAACACAGAATACTAAGAAGCAGGTGTTAGGAGTGTGGACTCAGATTGTTCTAAGTGGTTTCCAAAAAGGGACTTAATTTATTATCCGAAGCCAAGTCCCATGTAGCAGTCAGATTGAAGTGCCATTTCAGTCCATTACTCCTTTGCAAGGCTTTCCCAGACATACTCAGCAGTGGCAGGATGTCTCAGATTTGGGGGAGGCAAAATTACCGCCCCGACTTTTAGTCCACTTTCATATGACTGCAACATCACTGAACCCAGCGGTAGAGCCTGGGCTCCTGGGTGACCGGAGAGCTCTAGCCCAGCGGCACTTACTGAGTGCCTGAAGTCGCTGATGGCCTGCACCTCACTGCACAGGCTTCCTGAGTTCCTGGTCCTGTAGACTGAGATCCAGCTATGATTCTGGGCCACACCTGGAGGTGTGGCTGCCTTGGGCCTTTGGTGTGGTGTGATTTTCCTTCCTGGTCTTTGGACCGTCTTCCTGCCCCCCGACTTAAGCTGTGGTCCCACTGAAGCAGGCCGTTTCTGCTTCAGCCCTGGTTCCAAACTGTCTTCCTGCATCCGTGGAGTGGGATGGGGAGGGGCTAGTGGCCAAGCCCTCCCTTAGCAATCACAAGGATTGCTTACCTCTGGGCCCTAGAGTCAGGAAGCCTTTTCAGAGCTGTAGCTAGTCCCCTTCTCCCTGGCAGAAGGTCAAGCCTGGCGTCTTGTGACGTCGAGAGAGCTGGCCATCAGCACGCCTTGAGTCATTCTCAGGCTTCGTCAGCTGACTCTCCCGTCATCTTACTCCCGGCTCTCACCTTCACCCCTCTGATTCTGAGTCAGTTCCATGCTACTGTATTCCGTGTTACCGCCAGATACCTTCTAGGAAGGTACCATTCCGTCACTGATTTTTGTCTACTTTTCTCTGTCCCAATCACCTCATCTTGCTTCCTGTCCCACCCAAAGTAATGAAATAAATCATCTTTTTTGGGGGGGCAACATTTTATTGCTTTATTTTTGTTGTTGGTGGTTGGTTTCTCTGTAACAGCCCTGGCTTTACAAACTAGGCTGACCTCAAATTCAGAGATCCGCCTGCCTCTGCCTCCCAGCTGCTGGGATTAAAGGCATGCGCCTCCGCTGCACAGTTTATTTATTTATTTTTTTTAATGTGTAGCCCAGGCTGGCCTCGAACTCATGATCCTCCTGCCTCTGCCTCCTTCAGCAAATCCTACCGGCGTGCGCCACCACAACCGGCCACAGTTTATTTTTTTAATAACATTTTTAAACAGCATTTTTTATAGCGTTTTTGGTCAAATGTTTACCAAATCTTTGATTTGAAGAAACAAACAACCAGGCAATATTGGCACACACCTTTAATCCCAGCAGTTGGATTCAGAGGCAGAGGCAGGGGGATCTCTGTGAGTTCAAAGCCAACCTGGTCAACAGAGTGAGTCCCAGGACAGCCAGGACTGATGCACAGAGAGCCTTTCTCGAAATACTAAAAAACAAAACTCTGTGTATGGT